TGGGTGAAAAGATAACTTTGCGGTGGGCAGGATCCTGCCCACGGCAAGTAGGAGTGGCACCTTCTGATGGGAGCTTTCAGTCACGTCACGGTGCGAACTCGTCGATGCCTGCCAACATAAGATGCGCTTGCATCATGCGCTGTTCCACTGTCTGCATTCGCTTGTTTCAAGCAGAAGATGCACAACAAAAACAGAATCGTAGATTTTTCTCACAAGAACAATAAAAAGTTTACTTTTACTTGTGTACAATCGCCAACGGTGCCTGCGCTCAGTTATAGCCTAATACAAAATGAGTGAACAGGACTGTGCCGCCTAACCCCAAGGATGATTATTTTGAAATATGTACCCAATCCTGCTATATCACGAATTCGAAACTGCAGCATTTGTAAATAAAAAATAAAAATGGGTTCCACTGCTGGCTATGGCAGCCGTATTCTGAAGGGCGTGAAAAGCAAAAAACAGGCTTTTGCTTAGAACTTATTGTTGCATATTCATGTGATTTTGAGATGCAAAACGCTCTATTAACATTATTACGTTGGGTTGTTCATGGACGATTCCCTTAAAGATATATGAGGGCTTCCCCTCCACTAGGGTTCTTTGCATCGGACACACTCACTTATCTGCAGACAATGGTTTTATGGTGTGCCAAACCCCGACATCATGTGCGAAATCGAGTCTCACAAGATATCTTGGATGTGATCGCGCTAAACTACCACCACAGCTGCTGTGTCTGTGTTTCTCGTGTACTTGCTCACTCACTTCGTCATTCATTTTCATATTTCTCTCGCAATAATTTTGATGCTTCACTTCACCTAAATTGTTCAGGTTGAGTTCGGATGAAGCTATGTGCCTGAATTCTTGATCATTGTGGTCATATTTCATCTTTGTGCAGCATCGCAGCAACGGTGCTGACGCAGACATAAGTACAAGTTTAGATAGCCGTCTCATGAGTCAACTTTCCGTGCAGTTGAATACATGTATGTGAACATGACATGAGAGACCACTTGTTCCTTCATCGAGACAAAGAATGTCTAATTATTACTTGGGCCACGTTGCTGAGTGCGCCATCAAAAGTGTTCATTTTGACTTTCTGGTGTCCCTTTTGAAATCGTTACTATCAGCGGTGCCTTCATGTGGAGTAAACATTACCATTAGCAATGCAGATAGGACCATTATTTTATGCAAATCAGAGTATACGACTACATAATCTTTAGCAACTGTTGAGAAGGACAAATCTGCACATTTAAGCTAAGTAAACGGACATATCTCACCATTTTTGAAACCGTTGTGTGTGCGGCAGTATTATTTTGTGTATTTTCTGAATATGTTAAGTGACTGCTTATCGTAGACAGATAAAGTCTCCTGTTTGAGAAAGCACAAATCTGTCAAACCATATCATTTGTTTCCAAATGCAGGCATAACTTGCACGGTAAACCACGATGTGAACTGAAAACGTCCCTTACTTCGGCACGCATGTTTCAACCCCAGAAAATATTGTAAACAAGCTAGCATCACTAAGCATATCTTCTTAGCACGCAACGCATTTCTTGGTGTACACAATGAGATCAACGAGTGTCTTGCCTTCCTACACCACCATTTTCACAGCAATTGTTCCGTTCAGACGGGTGCCTAAAGAAATTTTGTACAGCTCACATAACTTTCACTATATGTGAAACCTTCGACCTTGTACCTTGAGAGGCTTGCATCACGAAATTGAGGAGTAATCGTCACCGTACCACTAAAGAGCGGGTACACGGCAGGCGCAGAGAAAGGCAATAAGCAGCGGCAGAACACAAGAGTCCTTGCTATGATGTCGCATTGCCGTGACCGCAGCGATGCCAGTATTCATTCTCGGGGATAATAGCACTGTTAAACAGCTGGTCCCTCAATGCACACACCTAATACATCGAACATGACCCAGTGCTAATCAAAGCCGATGTGCTCTGTCTCACAGAAACGCGAAATGGCGCAAGATCTACGATCAATGGCTAGGAATAAAGCACACCTGCTATGTCTCACATAAACGTGGAATTCCGCAAGGCCGACAATCAACGGCTACCAAGTGATCATGTGTACTGAGGAAGCGTTTTGTTGCCTTCACGACCGATTCTAAAGAGATACAAGGAGAGTGTAGGAGACGATATAGAGGGGGAGGAGACACGCACGCACAGTAGGGAGTAATGGACGCCACGAGAGGAAGTGAGAGACGGACACAGCCTTTTGCCTTCCACATATAAAAAGTCCCATGCATTCCCCTAAGATGACTCGGCTGTAAATCATGCTCTTTTTGTCTTTCCTATGGCGCATAACTTTGTAGGTCAGCGACAGTTCCTCCTCGAAGGCACACGAGCTTGCACCAATGGGAGCACACTCCAGACAGAGTTGGACGACTGGACATATCGCCTTTCAAAGAGAACATTGGACGTTTTTAGCTTCTCTGTACACAAGCCACGCCGACACGTGGTGCTTCGGTAGTCTCAGCGCAGTGGAGGCTGACTTCAGCTTTATTTCATTTCCGTGTTCACAGCTCAAACTACAAGAATAAAAACCTGAACGAGTTAGTTTAGTTGCGAGTAGTGCCTGTTTGTGTTCTTTTAGATGCGAAGCCGCTTCCATTCGAGGCAATGTCTGTCCCTCGGCGACTATCGATTCCCGGCGACTATCGATAACCCAACTCTCCTCCCTTTCCTCGCAAGAGCAAAAAGAGGGAGAGTTGCACTCTCTTTTGCAATGACGCTATGAACCTCAACATTGGAACGAGTTGTAGCAGCATCTGTAACATACACTGCAACAGCAGCGTAAGCAGCACCGCTGAGAAATAGACGAGAGCTCGCAAAGCCAAACGTAAACAGGAGCGCTGGCAAGTAGGCCCCAAACGCAGATGGGCTTCAGTGCTGTTTAGACAAAGACGAAGAAACACAGAAAAGCAGGTCCCTCAACACACGCACAGTGGGGTGTAACAGACGCCGCGGGAGAGAGCAAGGGACGGACACAGCCCCCACCATTTGTGAAAGCGCTTGTCTGTGTTTTGTGTGTCCTTGGTCTTCGTCTGAATCACGATGAAGCCTATCCACGTATGTACCAACTCGCGGAAGTGAAAGTGCTATTAGACCTCAAACGAGCTTGGGAAGTCGCAAGAAAATGGCAACGGCGGCAAGCGCAGCCAAATTTAAATTGGCGGCAAGCGGAGCTTGCGAAGCCAAATGTAAACAGCAAGGGCGAGCTGAAGACTCCTAACTCCGAGCTCACAAAGCCGAACCGCAATGGTTACGTCGAGCTGAAGACCCCAAGACTGTGAGGCACCACGAAGCCGAACCGCAACAGCAACAGCAAGCCACGAATACTGAAGCGATTAGGAAACGCGAGTTTGCGGTTAGGACATCGAGGCTTTCGAGGCAGCTGCATCAGCCCGGGAACACATAAAGGGGAGGGGGGTAACATAAGCGGTACATAACATATACACAACTCCACGCACAAATTAAACATACACGGAAGCATACAAATGGAAACACAACTTGCACAAGAGAACACCAGCACTGCTTCGGATTTCCACGTGGCTCCCTTTAGTGGGAGATAGATGTTGCAATTTTTTGTTTGCCCTCATCCCAGGCTGCTTCAACCCAACATCTAACTAAAAGCTCGGCCTCTGCTTTCCTCACGAGCTAGTGTATGGTTGTTATATATCAGCGAATGCACAAGTGAGTGAAGACAAGAACAAGTGGCACCACCTTAAACTCTAAAGTCGTGACGATGCTGCCGCATTCCAGTGTTCAATATTGGCGACAAGGAAAAACGTCGCCGTGAAGCATGACATTTACCTTAAAGATGATGCCAAAAGGCTAGAAAACCACAGCACAACATCGGGTAGAACCGTCCAAAAAGCAAGCAGTGCTTCTTACGTTTTGTGGTGAGCACACCTACGAAACGTTGAGGGCCCTGGTAGCACCAAGAAGCCTTCTGAGCTGGACTTAACGGACACCATCAAGCGACTAACCCAACACGTCAATCCTACTGAGTTACCTGGCCGTTACTGTTTAGAGAAACGAAACTGGTGCCCTTACAATCCTGGCATTGACTACATTACACTTGTGCGAATGTTCACAAAGGACTGCAACTTTGGCAACGTAGACACCATAGGAGGCATCCGGCAGTAGCGCTGCAGTGCAGTCTCAAGCACGGAGTAAGGCTACCTTTGGAAGTGGTGCTGCTAGACTGGCTGTATGTAGAATCCACCAAATCCATGTTCACCAACACTTGCTAGCTACGGATAAACTAGGAAGGAATGAAGGAAGAATAACAAGAGAGAAGGCAGGGACGTTAAACGAACACATGCCCCGTTTGCTGCCCTACGCTGGGGAACGGAAGTATAATATGAAAGAAGGAAGAAAGAGTGGATAAACTAAGGTTTAAGAGAGCCTACGTGCTCGTGATGATGTACGAATCGGCAAGAGACCAGTAGAGGTGGATGCAATGCAGTTGGCAACAGGCGGACATTTTCGGTGTAAGATTAAGTTGTACGATTAAGTGGTGCACTTTTTACAGGAACAAAGGGAACAGACAACACTTGCAACTAAATTTATTTCAGACACAATACTTGACATGTATGCCCCCTCACTCCCCTCCCCTCAGCAACACAAAAATAAATAACAGTCAATGAAAACTTACTTAATAGCGAATTTCGCACAATTAAAGATAAAGTAATCTCGGCGCCTGTAGAAATGAGCTTAACCTGCAGACATTCTTATACACGAAACAAACTTTTTTTGTGCACACTCAAGCGATAAAAATGGAGCATGTGCAGCCCATACACTTCAAAGAAGTAATAAAGTAGTACTAAAGAAATGTACAGTAAAACTAGCAAATATGGATAGTTGAGGGCAGCTGCAAGACTTGCAAGTAAAAACTTACACGCACTCAAAACGAAAGTAGGCAACAAGAAAGAGCATAACAAATACAATACTACACACTTAAATTAAAGCTCTTCCACAAAGGTGGCTTACCTATGACTTAATCAGGGGTGGAAGCGGGCTTCAGTCTTTTAGAACACTTTTGGGAGCAAGATTATTGCGGTTTTGAAGCAGCTTTGGAGTAGTAAAAACGGAGTTTTGGAGCAGCTCTGTTGAAACAGAAGGTGTGTTTTGGAGCATCAAAATTTAGTTTTAGAGCATATTTCTCAGGTCACACATCACTCTTAATCAGAATTTTTTTATTTCTGGCAAGCAAGAAAATTCAGTAGTTCTTACTAAGCATGCAATGCTGATTAAGTGACCAGACTTACCCCTAAACTGATGTGTATTAAACCTTACAACATCAAAGCTGAAAGCACAGCAACTGAAGAAAAAAACATAAGGGGTGCTCTGGATAGCTACTAAACCTCAGATAGATCAAAAATTTAATATTAAATTGTGGCAATATTTGAAAGCGTGATTCAAACACTGTATTCTACATGAACAGCAACTCAAGACTAGAGATGAGCTAATATAGAAAAAGTTATCCTCATGCTAAGCTCTATAAAAATAAATGAAAAAAGCTTATGTTCAGGACATTGAAGTGCCACAGTCGACACGAGAACTGCAAAGAAATTTAGATGCGCTTGCCGTGCCATTGCCAAGCAATTAGGTGATTTTTTTTATTACGATAGAAATGATATAGACACTCGACAAGTTTTGGCCGTTGTCACTATGTTCCGCGTGAACTCCAAGTTGGCAATACCCCGTGCACATCATACTTTCTACCCGCAGGTAAAACTGTGCAAGCTGGGGTGATGAGCACTGCTCAAACAGAGAATAAACGAGGCGGGCAATTTCAGTCGCTCTGAGGGCGCATGCGATAGTATCCCACCACGAGTTAGACCTGCCATCGGATGCTCAAGCAGAGAGGAAACACGTCGCCCGTCTAGAACGAGCATGAAAATACGCGGGAAGGGGAGAGGGAGGGGTCACTTGGGCAGCAGCGATGAACTTTGATTTTGAGAGCGTGATTGCAATGCTGGTGCACACGCTATTGGCAAGCATCTGTGCACGGCTTGTGAACCAACATTTCATAGAGTGTCACGATGTCGGATCCAAGAAAGTTAGCTGTCAGCTTTAGTATTGTCATGAGGTCGTGATGTTGACGAAAGCAGTAGCCACTGTTTTTGTGAGTGAACTTTATATCTTGGCGAACCTGTGCCCAGAAAACAAAACGTCACTCTACAAGCAATACACGCTGTGAACTGATAGCAGCGAACGTAGAGGGTCGGCCATCGATAATATGCCAAGCAGTGAAGTGCGTCCTCATTCATACATGTGTCATAGAAGATTCCAGCTTTATCACTAGCGGCTGCATAAATTCCAGAACAATCTCTAATGCACACGTTGAGCATGTAATCTTATCAGAAGGTTCTAAGATTATGCAGATGGTTGGCGGTCATTCTGGTGCAGTTTGCGCAAGGCAGCGTCACATGCGTAATGGTGTGGTAACAAAAACAGAAGGGAAGGAGTGCATTCAGCATCACCATTAGAACATTACACATTGTTGCCATTGCAATCATCACTTGATAAATTGAGAGAGAGAAGTAAACATTTATTTTCGAAACAGTGTCCCGAGCAATGCCCGGTGTCACCATGAAGTGGGAGAGCTCTTTAGGTTAGGAACCCTCTGGCTTCTACTGCCCTCTTGGACCTGGCGACGAGTTGTTGTTGGTCTTCCCGGTCCTCGAGGGTGAGCTTCGCCTCCCACGTTTCGGTTAGGTTTTCATTCGTCTGTCCTGCTTCATTATCAGCTGCGTGTTGTTGCAGATTACGTCTGGCAGTTCACTGGCATGTAAGAAGCAAGTGTGCCAGGATGTTTGGTACGCTGCAGAGCGGGCCTATGGGGAACGTGCATTGAGCCGGTGGAGCAGCTGCGCGGGAGGGAACGAAACGAAGTGGCGTGATACGTGCAGCAGCCGCTCCACGAGCCGAGCCGTGTCACGCTGGTCAAGGAGCTTTCCAATGTCGCGCATGAATTGCTGCGTCGTCAACTGCACTAATAGCTACGAGAAATGCCCTCCTGGAACAAAGTTCTTTCGTTTTCCGGGGCGACAATGCCTCGTAGACCAGCGGGAATGGTGGGTTCGCAATGTACGCCGTGTGAAGTAAGTGATCCTGTGCATGGTTATGGAGTACGTGTTGTTGCTAGTTCGATTTGAATTTACGCCTCACGCTAGAGAACCGGTGTTTTTACAGTGGAAACGGAACAGAGTGGCAGCCCGCAAAGTGGTCTCGGGTCTGCAGTGCACATTTTGTTGCCGGAAAGTCATCGACGGATCCAGCTTCTCCTTCGTACGCTCCTGCTATTTTTCCGCCAACGTACCGAAAAACTTCGGCGATCGCTGAGGACAAGAGGTCGCGCTATGAGAGGTCAGTTATCTCGCAGTTCACGGCGATGACCATGCAATTTACTGGACGTCGTCGCTTGGCTGTACGTGCGTTACTGTTACACAGACCGTAGTTCAGACAGTTTAATACATGCCTAAAGGCGAGCATTATTCATTCACGCTCATTCACAGGTAAAAATGTTACTCACACGCCCTATGTATAAGCAAACAGCGTCGTTCGTAAACGGCAACGGTAAAGAAGAAGAGCCGGATGTGTGGCACAATGCACAGGGGACTGCGCGAATCTTTTAATGCACCTGTATTTCATTTGCGCCTTGACAGCGCTGCGCATGCAAGCGGTGCCACGCCACGGTGTTTTTATTTATGCTACGCGACGGCTAAGATATCACTTGCAAAGATGACACGTAACAGATTTACTCAATCACTCATGCAGCCCGGGCAACGTCCACAAACAGAACTGCAGCATAGTAAGGTTTGAACAATCGTTACAGCATCGCTAAATGCGAGACGGGAGGCGATTGTACGCACCAGCGCCGATCGCACTCGGTTGCCCTCAAGACAACATCACGCTACGGCACACGTCTCACGTTAATGTCATCGTTTGCTCGGTAATAAGCAGGTAAAATGATGCAAAAGCGCTCGCACAAACCTCGATGATGACGGCGTATGCTTCCTGGTTCACGTTGGCTTATCGCACACACCGCCCTTTTAATATAAGCTGTCCGACTGTGGCCTCTTCAGTCACGTTGAAAACGTGCCTGCTGCGGCATAATTTGTCTCCTTTCTCTTCGTTCCAGGCTCTGATAAACCCTGCGCTCTTTACTTTCTTGAAGCCGGCGCGCTTTATAATACCAGTAGCCATCGTCCGCAGAACGCGGGCGCAGCAGAAGGGGAGACGAGAATGCGTATCACGTCAGTTAACAACTCAGTGGCCACTCGTGGCGCTGACGGCGCGCTGGCGCATTGCATTAGCGCGCCACCTGTAGGTGCCGCACGTTTCCTACAGAGCTATATCTCGTTGCGTAGAGACGGTGCATTAGGGCTTCATGTGTGTATGTGTTGCTTTGCAGGCGTCTCAGTATCACGCTTTCCTCTTTTTGTCAGTTTTGGGTGTGGTAGAGGATATACTCGTCACTCCAGCCTGTAATGCTGGAGTAATTGACTTTTTTTTTTTTTTTTTCAGTTCATATGGTTCAACAGTCTCCACCGCAGAGCGCGTGCAGTGCTCTGCGATGTATATTTCCCACCTTGCATATGGGAATCTATGGGAATGTATAGTTTCCCAGCCTGCGTATGGAAAAGTACATGTCCAGATTGGTCAGTGTCTGAATACCAGGCAGTAGGAACATAAGAAATCTTTAGAAATGATTCGCTCCCCCTTTAAGGAAACTGTTCTCAGTGTCTTTGCTTGCCACTATTTTACACCACTACGGTAGTTTTTCTTCAGGAAACCAACTAACCAGGGAAGTCGTAGAATCATTGCCAAAGGCAAAGGCCAAACAAAGGCTCAAGCAATAAGTGTCCTTTGTGAATTTTTCTAGGTTGCCAACCTCTGGCAGAGAATTCGAGAAGGCAATATAATGAAGGCAGCTCACCACTGACAAGGAGACAAGCTTCTTGTGTCCTGCAGGTCCACAGTAGCATTGGGATGCTGCTGGTAGAATTGCCTGCGGTACAGAGCAGGCCTTACTAAAAAAGCACAAACATTTTTAATCCCAGTAAAAACTCCTCCTATGCTTCAAGGGGTATTCACAATGCACACAGACTGTTGCCCTGCCAAGCGCGATTGAGAGCGTCCTCTCAAAGATGGTCAGTAGCCTCATGCTCTCTTGTTTAGCTGTGCTAGCCTCAGTATTAAAGCATTAGCAACAAACGAACACTAACCACTTAGCATATTTTGTCAAAGCATTGTCAAAGCATTGTCAAAGCATTGTCAAAGCATTGTCAAAGCATTGTCAGAGCATTGTCAGAGCATTGTCAGAGCATTGTCAGAGCATTGTCAAAGCATCTCACCAATATTTTTTTGTATGAAATATATTTACCAAACAACAGTCTAAGGAAATATCATAAAGCACACAATGACAGGTTGTCAAAAATGGGCTGTAAAGTGAGCTACAATTTGAAATACTAGTATTTGGGGCAGAAATCAAATTAAACTGGAAAAGCTAAGCGCCATATTTTAGGACTGCAGTCCCACATAATTATTTTCAAATGAGCAGTAGATAATAAGTATGAAATAAAAGGAATCCTGCTCATTTTCACATTTCACCACACTGGCCTGCATGTCCAGCTAAGGAAAAAAAGGCAAATGGCCTTTATGGTCAATATCACAGTTCTGTCGCATGAATGGGATAAGAACCGATAATGCTGCACACTAGTAGCACACTGGGATAAAAGTACACGGATTATTTCAAATTTCTCAAGGACTTACGAGTTGATCAAAGTGTAAAAGTCCACTACTCTCATTCTCTCAGAGTCATTTCGGAGCAGCCATTACTAACAAAAATTACTGTTTGGAGCAACATTTCTGTTTTGGAGCAATTAGAGCAGCACTTCCCCATCACTGCAAAATTTTTAGCACTTCCCAGCACAGTTTCAAACATGGTTCTGGCACCATTACTCAACTGACAGAATTCGTCCATGACATCAGCAGCTCCTTAGACATACAGTTATGGAAGCCACCTTCGGATTTTTGGAGCTGATTTCGGAGCAGAAAAAAATGGTGCTTTGGAGCAGCCATAAGTGTTTTTAGAGCAGAAAAAAATGCTACCATAGTCTGAAGCAACTATTGATGTTTCTTGAGCAAATGGCAAAATATACCAAATGACTCCCAAAGTTTAAAGCATCAACTAAGCTGCTGATAAATATGAATACTTATCAAATATAGTGCACATACAATTATCACTCGCTAGCATGAAACAAATAACTAAATGGATGAATGGTGAAGATGAGCTAACTCTATTTGAAATGCCAACACTTATGACAGATATGGCATAAAAGCAATAAAGCTGAGCACCAGATAACAAAAGCAGCCATTGCCACACGTAACTATTGCCAAAGGAGCAGTTTATAATTTTTACGAGCACTGTATGCTATTTTCACAATTCACCAAAACAGCCAGCCTTGAAAATAAGTAAAATAGGCTAAATTAGCCACGCACTTACAATTCCAGTTCGCGTGACATAAAATGAGCTCAAAGCAGATAAAGTGGTAAATGTAATGGGTCACACATCAAAGTCGTCACAGCAGCAGTTAGCGATCATAATAATGCTGAATGAATCAAGCACAAATTTCACAAAAATAATCTGCTTGTCAAATATATATCCACAATGTAAGTACATATGTATTGCAAATGAGTTCCATGACAATCTGCAAGGCGGCAGAAGGGTTAAGAAAGGGGAAGAAGGCAACCACCCGTTTGTAGCACGAAGCCAAAAGCAAATCCGTACGAATTTATTAGAAAGAAAAGCTTTTTATTTTTCGGCCAAAAATTAGTCCTGGTCCGGGGTTCAAACCCGGAAGCAATGCCTTTCTGGTGCAGTCGCCCTGCCAATTGAGTTAACCTTCCACCACCTTGCAGCTTTCGGCAGAACTCATCTGCAATACTTGCTTCCAGGTGCTTCGAGTGGTCAATGAATTCGCCCTAGTGCTCTCTTTTGCTGGCTTCCTGGTTAACTCAATTGGCAGTGTGACTTTCCCGGAAAGCCATTGGTCTTGGGTTCGGTCCCCAGACCAGGATGAATATTTCAACAACTAATTGCTTTTTTTTTAAAAATCCGTACTTGTGGCTTCGTGCTACAAACAGGTGGTTGTCCTCATTCCCTTTCATAATGTTAGTACAAGCAGCATAGTCAATATGCTAATATACAGCCAGTTTTTGTTTTCATTTAGGCTCCCTGAATTGCCCTATGATTAAATCTCACTGTTTACAGTTTTCCAGCTCCGTCTTGGAACAGGTTTGGAGTAATCACTGACATAATATTATTTTGGAGAAGGATTTCTCTTTTGGAGCAGTTTGGAGCAATTGGAGCCACACTTCCATCGCTGGATACAGGTTAACAAGTTGATACCATATTTATTGATTTTGCCAAGGCCTTCGACACTGCATCAGATCTGAAGCTATTGAAAAAAATGGCAGCATATCCACGGAGTGAATGATGGAGAGTGGGGCGAAGCATTCGTCCGTCCATGCGTCCGTCTGTGTGACCGTCCATGTATTTGTTCGTGCGCCCGTCCCTGCGTTCGTTCATGCATACGCCCCTGCGTCCGTTCATGCGTCCATCCATGCATCTGGCTGTGTGTCCGTTCGTCCATCTATTCAACACTCAAAGTCCCACCATCTCGCATCTTTTTATCATATATTCCCCATATAGAAGCACCGCCATTCAGTGGACATTCCAAGGACTAAACGAGAGGTGGCACACGCACACTTTCTTACGGCTTGCGCTTCGGGTCTACTTCCCACCTTCAACTACCTTGAGTTCATAGTATACACTAGTTCACTGTATTTATGGCACTGCGGCCCAATGCTCGCTAAACCTTCCTAAAACCAAGGAGGTTACGCCCAGCGAGTATAACGTAGGAACTTTTTCCTTTCAGATAGTGCTCAATGTACATGCCAGTCGCTGCTAATGTGAAATGAGAGACAGGAGGATTCAGCTTTTAATTTCTTACGGCTTGCGCTTCGTATCTGCTTCCCCCCTTTAACCACCTCGAATTCATTCATGGTACATACTAGTTCATTGTATTCATGGCCCTGCGGCTCAACGCTCGCTAAACCTTTCTAAAACTAAGGAGGTTACACCCAGCGAGTATAGTGTAGCAACCCTTTCTTGTCCGATAGTGCTCAATCTACATGCCGATGGCCGCTAATGGGGATCGCAGCATGCGCGTTGACTAAAATCCGAATGCTCCTGTCTCTCATTCTCCATTAGCAGCCATTGGCATGTACATTGAGCACTATTTTTTATTGTTAAACAACGCACAGAAGAAATCTCTCACCGGCACCACCTTGGAGGTCAAATTTTATACCTATTTCGCGTATGTGCCACTGGTGGTTACGTACTACGAGGGACGCACAAGCCACGCCATAAGGAGCTTCGCCCCTAAAAGTTGTTTGTTATACTAAAGAATGCATCATTGGTTGGCTGGATATCGAAATTGCTTTTGCAGCGCTCACAATAAGTGTGTTTCAACTTTACTAACTCGCCTCAGATGCCGGTTTCATCAGGAGTTCCCCAGGGTTCCGTACTAGGACCACTCTTATTCTTGTTTTATATTAATGACCTCCGCTCGCACACTTTTGTGAAAATGTGCCTTTTTGCAGATGACTGCATCCTACATCATACTGCCACATACTCGCCTCATTTTTTGTTATCACCCCGCTTTACTGTCAGTAATTTTCAACGCGAACCAGGCCGAGACTGTTCGAGAAGCTTGGGGACAGCAGTAGGTCATTTTGTTAAAATTACGCCCACTTCGAGAACATTACAGATTATTGTGGAACCTACGCCGCCGCTAGTGATAACGCTAGAATATTCAATGGCCAGTGTATAAATGCCGACACGCTTGTCAGTTGATCGGTGGCCGACGCTCTGTTCGCCGCTATCAGTGCCAGTGTCTTGCTGTAATACGACTTTCGTTTTGCGTGGCCACAAGTTCAGCCCAAATAAACAGTTTCATCTTCGACCTGAAGTCTGCTCCATTCATTCCCATAACAACCCCATGACATCTGGTGGAGGTGCCCCCGTCAAGTCGTGAACCCAGCCCACATTGCGAAGACACCAACGCCAGCCACGAGCGCCGAACAGGCCGCAGGGTTTACCATCAGAGTACGGGCCTCTACAAGACAAGGTTTGGAAGACCAAGGACATGACATCGACCGCGGCAATGATGACAACTGCTGCACGGTAGCCTGCGATCGTGATGCAGCAGCCAAGAGAACCACCAATTTTTTTTTTGTGGGTCATCGTTTGAAGATCCAGAGACCTGGCTGGAGACCTACAACCGAGTGGCCGCCCTCAACTACAGGGACATGGAAGAGAAGCTCCGTTGCATCTACCTTTATACAGAAGACACAGCAAGGACCTCGTTCGAGAATAGGGAGTCTGCGCTTCAAACCTGGAATCTCTTCCGCGGCACATTCCTGGATACGTTCAGGATCATCGCCTGCAAGGAAAGAGCTGCGACACTGCTGGAGATGAGGGTCCCACTCCCAAATAAAAATGTGACAATATTCATAGAAGAAATGAAACAACTGTTTCACCACTCTGACCCCGACATGCTTGAAGAGAAAAAAAGTCTGTTTTCTCATGCGAGGGGTAAAGCAAGAACTCTTCGCTGGACTGATCTGAAACCTCACTAAGACCGTCCAGGAAATCCTGTCAGAAGCAAGATCAATCAAGAAGACGCTATAAATGTGAGCCTGCCAGTACAATTGGTGAACAATGGAAGACATCCCAGCTCTTCATACTTTCAGCCCTGACGACCTTCGTAAAACGATACGAGCGATTGTACCCGAAGAGCTGCGTAAATTGTTGCTAGCCTCACAGCATCCCTTGACTTGATCGCTGAGTTGTACGCAAAGAAGTCCAGCAATTTTTCCAAACACCCTAGTCCAGCCTGAGCCACAAGCCATAAGCTACGCTATGCAGCGTTTTTCCGCCGC